TTAGTCATTATGAAGTAAACGAAAAATGCTCTCTTGCATGCACAGTGGGAAAAAAAAATATCTTTTTTTTTTAAACAAACATCTAATAATGTGCAAGGTTTTAAAATTTGATACTAGAAATGTCCATTATCGATCAATGTCTTTTGAAAAATTATGAAAATAAAAAGTTCATAACAAAAATTTATATTAACAAATAATTATTTTTAAGTTAAAAATTGTTAATATTAATATTAATTATGTCCATATTTATTATAATATTTGATCAAATTTTTATGTAATACTAAATAAATGTCTAACTCACAGTGGATATATGAAAATGTCGATGAAATGTGAACCAAAATTTAGTACCGTAATAACATTTAATGATTATAAAATATGGGTTGTCCAATAATTTATTATCAACTGGTAGTTTTTGTTCATTTTTAATAAAACACAAACAAGCTTTAGTCAAACATCGATGGTCATAGCATGCCTAAACATAGTTGTCTTTTACTTATTTTATTGGTAAATACGAAACAAAAATAATAAATAATTATCACTTTTGTGGGTCATATCAAGTGGCATAATTAATGAGATCTGCCCACTTTTCTTTTTAAATAATTTTTAAGCAGGATTTTTAATACGATGAAATGTTTATGGGTAAGTTGTACAAATTAATCAGATGTCATAATTACATGCCTAGACATTCAATTATAAAAATTAAACCTTTAACTTTCATAGATAAAAATTTAGACTCCAAACATTCAACATAAAAATTAAACCTTCAAAATTTTTAGGAGGAGAAAGTTACTAGAATCCTTGAAGTTTATAATTTTTAACAAGAATCGGACAGACTCCTTGTTCGGAAGACATTCTCTGGCCACCTCTCCGGCCTAAACTCCTCATAATCCTTTCCCTATACCATATGCTCTCCATCCGTGGCAGAAGGAATTCCATAAAATCTGAGGATTTGTCTAGTTTGTCCACTCATACAAAAATCAAATCGAAACAAAGTTTGAGTTGAAACATATCTTTCATTTTTTAGACTCTAAGAAAAATTAAAGAAAATGAGAAAAAACAAAAGTTTGAATTGTTTTGAAATTCTCTGTTTATGTTTATTAGATGACCTCTTACATATTGCTAATCAATTAAAAATGTATTAGTTAAATAGTAATATCTGAAGTACTCTAAAATATCACTTTATGTCCTTTTTTTCTTCCCCTTTGAATACACTTATTGTTCTTCTCAAGTGCGAAATTAGGATTACTGATGTCACCAAAGGACATCGAGGGATGTTCTTCCTTTGGATGTGATGGGCATCCTAACTGGAACTCAATATCGGTACGGTGCTCTACCAATTGCAGGCTGCCACTTAAATCAGAACTCAGTTTGAGACAGCAGCAAAGAGGAGAGTAAGAAATTTGGTGCGAGAATGTACACATTTGTGAAGGGATTGACTCCTCCTCTTACCGGGGAGAGATCTTTGGAGACTATTCTCTAAGAAGTCCAGGTCGTGCAGCTAGGCATATAATCCCTAGTGGGCTCTAAGGATACTCTATGGCATGGAATCAACTTTCTGCTGCCCTTCAGTATGTCTCCCGTCGGCTTCCCTATGTTGAAGATGTCGTCTGCCAACTACAGTGTCTGTTGTTGGTCACCCGAGCTCCTTCTAAGCGGGCACACGGAGTATGGTTTGTTGAAAGTAAACATGCACATTCCTAGATACATTATACATGTATTTGAATTACTATTTAATTAAGTACATTCACGTATTTAGTTGTTTAAGGTAGACTAGTTGTATATGCTCATGTATGTATAGCTATACTGGATCAAAGACCAGAATTAATATTAGATCCAGATCTTTCCTTGCAGTCCTTTTAAGTAAGATTGTCTTTGATGTCTTTCAAACAAGTGTGTTGAAAAGAAAACAAAGAGAGTTTGTGAACCAAGTGGGTGTAGTTTGTGATGAATTTTTCAATACAAGTGAAGTTGTTTATTCTCAAATAAGTCTTGAGAATTTTCCACGTGTGCGCTCTATTTTCAATACAATTTACTATGACTCGCATCAGCTTAAGGTTTTGGGTTAAGTAGTGATTTAATATAATATCAAAGTAGGTTGTCTTGTGTTCGAAGCCATTAACCATTTAATATCACTACCTTTCCATTTAATATTGTTGATAATCACTTGTTCGGTATATATATATCTATAATCTTATGTTTCTGGTTTGGGTTTAGTGGTTGATTTAAGAATTTTTTTTTTTCCTTTTCTTGGGAGGAAGGGTGAATTATAATCACCTCATTAAAATGATAGAATATGCACAACACTACTCCAAAAGACACCTTTATGGGAAGGATATCTTAATTAATACACAATGCATCTCCATTTCGTATTATTTATCCAAAGGACCAATCATTGAGAAATCAGAATAGTATGGGCTTCCTATTCCTGAAAAACAATAAGTAAGTGGCCTGTAAAGCTGCCAATGCATCAGCCCAAAGCCTAAACTGCAGCACACCAAAACAGTAAACTGGAACAATAGCCATCCCAGCAACAAGCAATGGAACCCAAGCCGTATCTTTCCCATAGAACAGGAAGAACGTGGCGCTGAAAGCCAAAACCATACTCAGTACAGAGAAGAAGAGTGTTCCAAGCCCGAACACCAACTTTAGTGGCAGCCAGATGAGGAAATCTTCTTCTGCACAGCGCGATGTGAGGATCGAGAGAAACAATAGAATTGAAGTTGAAGACGAGATCAAAGCTGTTGCATCTGATATCACAAATACGGTGAACCATTTGTGGTGAAGAAATATGGGAGCGCCTGTGTTGTTGTCGTTGTTGTTGCCGATGTTGTTATTGTTGTTACCGCCTGGTACAGTGAAGACCGCAGCAAAAACTACGGTGGCGATCAGAGTTGCAACCAACATACATGAATTTGCTGTTTTCTTCATCCATTTTTCTCCATCTTCCACTAGGTTTTTGTGTTGTAGGGTGAACAATTCGCGCGGGCTTCGCTTCCCTTTCTTTCTTCTCATCGTAAGCTCTACTATCTTCTCCACTTCCTTCGATAGTAACAAAATACCATATAAGAAAAATAATCCATGTCTATTATAAACGTCTCTGATCTTTTCAATGTGAGATCCTTAACATGTTCTTATAGAAAAGAGAGAAAGATAACTATAAAAAGTACCTTAAACCATATAAGCTCCCGATGCATTTGAAAGGCTGCTCCCGAGACCCGGTTGAGATGACTTGGATCTGCCCTTTTGGCGGCCAATTCAAGCAAGCTCATGTTTTCCTCGTCAAAATAATATGGCAAATAATCCAAGAACTCACCCATTTCATAGATCAAACTGAATACACTCTCTTGTCGATTTTCAACCGCTACATGAAATATGCTCTTCCGCTTACCATCGACTTTCCATGCAAGATCAGGATATGAATTTATTAACACTCTAAGAAACTCAACGTTTCCAACTCTTGCAGCATCATGTAGCATGCTTGAGGGATTTTTGATGAAATCAAACATCTCATCTTCAGGAATCTCATCCAGAACAACTCTCCACATCAGTTCAACCATTTGATGGGCTTGTATCTGCATCATTTTCTTTTTGTATATATGCTTGAACCCTAAACATGGATGAAAATAAAACAAAAAAATGTTTAAAAGTTGTACCCAGAAACAAAACCCCCCAGAAGTACATAACAGAGAAAGAAAACTAACAGCTATTGATGTATGCTTGCCAGATGGTTGGCTTATTTTTGGTGCCAATCGCATTTGACCTTCGAGCCATTATATGTAAGGGTGTATCATTATTGAAGTCCCGCTCTAGTGCTAGTGACTTGTTCCACTCTAGAATAAGCAAAGCTATATCTGTCAAGAACAAGAAAACAACATAACCCAATTAAGAATAATAATACTTTAGCATTGCTCTCACTAGTGTTGTACTAACTTTGGACAGAGTTATTTTGATTGGTACTTTTTTTCTCCCGAATCCACGTTGAAAAGATAAGGACGCAACAAAAGTTTATAATATATATGAGCTATCCATCTTATTGCCGATTAATTGACGGAATCTCATAGATATTGATAATTATTAATTGGAAATAAATAACCCACATTAAAAAGTTATAACAATACTATAATTATCACCAAACTATTTTTCCAAAAAGTTTCTTCTAAAATAATTAAGTATTTTTTTCGCTGAACTATACTTTCTTGCTAACTAGGCACGAACACCAGAAGAAAGAACTCTCACTGCTCTCCTTGGTTAGTTTCTCTCTTACCTGTCAAAAATTTTAGTGACGAACAACGATAATCTTGAACAATATATATCGTTGTTTTCTGTCCATCATCCTAGCCAAAAGTAAAGAAGAGAGAGAAGTTGAATTGATATTGAGCAGAAATAACAAACCATAATAATCAGCGGAGATGGCACCAACAAGAAGCTCCATTTGCTCCTGGATTGACAATCCATAGACGGGGGTTTTGGAGAGCAGATAAGAAACCATGTGCTGGTGTTTGTATCTTGCAGCAATTAGAAGAGGGGTTGCATTTCCGGATCCACGGATGAGGGGCAACGCCTTGTACTTGCGCACCATTAGCTTCGCGATATCAACGGCGCCTGATGCAGCAGCGATGCACAGCGCTGTGTTTCCGTATTTGTTTTTCAAGGCCAAGTCGTGGCCGTCCAGACGTTCAACCAACTTCTCGACAAAAACAGCCTTCTTCACTCTGGTGGCAATGTGGAGCGCAGTTTCGCATCTGTCGCTTATCACCATTGTTAGGGCTCCTGGATGCATGATTTCCATCAGCTTTGCAGTCTTCCAGTCGCCCTTTAGTGCTGCTTGGTATAGCCGAACACGCAGTGGGCGGTTGTCGATTCTTCTACTCCCTAAACATCAATGAATTCAAAAACTTAAACTGATGGATTGAAGAGTGAAGTTAATTATCATTCATAAGCTATCTCTAACAATAATTGGTTATTGCTGTTGCCTACTAATTGTAAGAATTTTGTCTTTGCTTTTGTGTTCATTGTGCTAGGAGAAGAAGAATTTATGATCTTTCACAAGCTTCGACTTTTCCCATTTGGGGAATTGCAGGGAAGGGGGCTCAGGATTTTCTAGAACATATTTTTTACAATAGGTAGGCAAAATAAGCCTTAATTAATATTCGTCCCACATTTTTTTTTTGCAGAAAATATTATTTCATTATGCAAGCAATAGAGAGAAATGATAAAAATAGTATAATTACCAAACAGAGGACATTTTGAAGATACCAAAAATATAAGTTCAATATTCCACCTAAGGCTCCGTTTACTTGAAAGAGAATGAGAATCGAAAATCAAAATTTTCATTTTATTTACTAAATCGTAGGAATAAAATAAACGATAGAATTCTTCTCAAACTTTATAATCATTCTAATCTCATTCTTCTAATATAACTTCATCAATCTCATTCTCCTATTGTTTTATTCTATTATTACTTTACAATTTCTACTCTTTCTTTCTCGTTGATAATGAGACTCATTACTTTAATCATTTTACATTTTTGTTACTTTCTTCTAATAAAATTTATACAACTTAGTGAATATGATTGTATTATAAAATATTTCAAATTTCTATTTTATTTTTTAATTAATTAATTATACTTTATTATTATTAATTAATATTAATACTTTTTTTAACAACCGAGAATTTCTAAACAATAGGGTTTAATAATATTTTATATTAAATAATGGTTATTCTAATAAACTAATTAGCTAAAAATGAAAAATACAAATTTAATTTAATAAAGCAAGAAAAAAAGGGTTAGCAGGCTTAGCAGCAGGAAATAGAGCACTTACAGGAAAAACGGAAGCTGGGAATTTTAGACTTGGCCCATCTCAGATCGATCTTGGGCGACTGCGAAGTTCTTGTGCTAATCATGACCAGCTGCTGCTGATTTTCGTCCCCTTGCGCCGGCGAATCAGCCGCCTCCAAGTCGTCGATGCCACGGTGGTCCTCTCCGTCTCCGGCGTCGTCAGCATCACCGTCGGTGACCGTCTCCGACCACCGGACAGCCCTGGGGTCGTTTGATTGAGACGAAGAAAGCGGCTTGCGAGTCAATGGCATCATGTTGTTTATGGAATAATGATGGAGAGGGTTCTTCTTCTTCTTCTGAAACTGCAAATTATAATATGAGAGATTATTGGTTTTTGTTCAGCACAAATAAACTCTCTCATAACTCATTCATTGGTCATTACATTATTAATGGCGAGAGCCGATTGGGCGCTGGGAAGTGAGCCATATACAAGTTAATAATTTTATGAGGGATTGGATTGTTTATTCACCACATTGGATGACGTCACTCACCAATTGTCTGGTAACGCAAGCACAAGCACCAAAGCAAAGGCTTCAATTTCAAACCCAGCTGCAACTGCAACATAAATTATTGCTTATATTAGGAAGCCCCAGAAATGAGGATAAGTCTAGCTCGACATTTTATGCACTCCAACCTGGAAATCTTAGCCTTATTACAAGTCTAAAAAACACAACGGTTTATTATTATTTTTTTTCTTAATCCTTTAACAAAATTTAAATCCATTTCAATTTAATATTACATCTCATCTATTACCGTGTTTTCACTCAAATCTCTGATCGCTCCTGCTCCTGAACTTTGGGTGGGTAAAATTCAAAGAAAGACATGTCCAAAAAAGAAAAAAATACTCCAACATTCAAGTTAGTCATAATCCAAAGTATTCGTTCTTAAGAGCACATTGACCTTAAGAAAATAAGTATATGTCAATTATTGTTGAATTATGTTCTAGGTTGACTTTTTGAGATAGTATTGAGTTTCTTTTTAAACCTCCAAGAAGATAATTAAGATAGCGTTGAGTTCCTTTTTAAACTTCAAAGAAGATAATTTCTAATATATATGGAAAATAAGATAAGCGGGACAAATTTTTTCCCTTAAAAAAGCACTTCGAGAGCGATGAATCTCCATGATAATGAATGGATTTCCATTATATAAAAGAAATTTAATAATACTATAATTAGTTAAAATAAACAAAATATTTAGAATAGTTAAGTACACCTCCCCTCCCCAGTCCCCACCTTTCCGGCACAATGAGGTATTAGAAATAAACAATATTTGGTAACACATTTTATTTTTAGTTTTTAGTTTTAAAAAAATTATACGTACTTCCTCCTAATTTTTTATGGTATTTTTAATCAAATTTTAAGAGCAAAAATAAAATTTTCAAATTACTCTTTTTTTTAAAAAAATTATCTTAGATTTCAAAATCGTTTTTAGAAGGTACATAACAAAATAAAAAAAAATACAGGTTAAACTAATATTTATAACTTGATTTTTAAAAATAAAATTGTTATCAAGTAGGACTTCTAGCTATGACATGCTTTAAAATTATCGAACAATCAAACTATCAAAAATTAAGATTAAATCTGAATTTCAACCCAAAAATTAACGTGAAAGACAGAAAGGACGACTTCGTAGTCAACGTGTTCACGGTCATAAATAAATAGATTCACATGCCCAATTACAGCTGTCTTTTACTTATTTTGTTTAGAAAATAAATACAAAACAAAAATAATAAATAATTATGACCACGCTATTGCAGCCAGTAAAATATTAAATATCCATATATAGATACTTCCATTGATATTTTCCTATAGACATAGGTTGACATCATCATGAGAAATATATCGGTAAAAGAAAATAAATATAAAAAATATTACTATATAGATATAATATTTTTAGAAAGATATATAACATAATTTAATAGAAATAGTGAAATTAATTTAAATATTTTTGACAAATTTTTTTATAATCCTTTTAAAAATATTAATCAACCTCAACATTTTATTTTCATCAAAATTTTCGTAAAATTAAGACTTCAACATTTACATAAATATCAATATTTAAAATTTTAGTTCAACTCAAACTTGTATATGATATGATATTATTGTCTATGTAACCACCACCTTTGTTTTCAAAAAATATTTTAAATGCAATTCTCTCTTTTTTTTTTCTAATTTTTTTAAGACCGTTTATTAATAACTTTTTACTTGCTTAAAAATATTTTCGATATTTTATTTAGATTTTCTAAAAGATATACTTTATTAGAATTTGGAAATTCAACTAAATTTTAAAAAATGTTTTTAGAACGTATATAGAAAAATGAATATTTTATTAATTAGTACAAAAGTTTAATTTAGAAAAAGAGAAAAAAAGAAACTCATTTACATATATAACACTATGTTGGGTGAACGAAATGATCCCAATGTGAACATGATATAGGTCGGAATGTGCCAAGTTACCATATGACCACAATGTTTTGAGGTATCGAGCTTAGGGCAAATAAATTATAGGCTCTGACGTTGACAAAGGACGAATTGAAGTATATTAAGATGCATCCAAACCACTTGTTAATAAACATTTTTATTACAGTAGAAAGTTTGAAAAAAAAAGCACATAATTCAAATCAATGTAGGATCGAATGGCAACACTAGAGGGGGGTGAATAGGGTTGCTTACCAGTTTTTGAAAATTAAAAATAAATTTAAAGTAATGAACAATTATGCAACCAATAAAAGAAGATTAACAAGAAGAGGAAACATTGAGCAAAATATTTA